GTTGCTCCTCTTCCAGTCCAACTCTCTGCTATGGCCCGGGAAGGCAGTGGAGGATGGCCCAAGTGCTTGGGCCCTGCACTCGCATGGGAGACCAGGAGGAAGCACCTGGCTCCTGGCTTCAGATCGGTGCAGTGCTCCAGCTGTGGTGGCCATTTGGGGGTTAAACCAATGGAAGGAAGACCTTTCTCTCTGTCTCTCCCTCTTACTGTCTGTAACCCTACCTGTCAAATAAATGAATAATCTTTTTTAAAAAAAGATTTATTTATTTACTTGAAAGAGTTACACAGGGAGAGATGGAGAGGCAGAGTGCGGGGTTGGGGGGGGAGTGTGTGTCTTCCATCCGCTGGTTCACTCTGCAGTTGGCTGCAACAGCTAGAGCTGCACCAATCGGAATCTGGGATCCAGGAGTTTCTTCTGTCTCCTATGTGGATGCCAGGACCCAAGGACTTGAGCCATTTTCTGTTGCTTCCCCAGGCCACAGCAGAGAGCTGGATAGGAAGTGGAGCATCTGGGACTTGAGCGGGCACCCATATGGGATGCCAGCACTGCAGGTGGCGGTTTTACCTGCTGTGCCACAGCACCACCTTCCTGTAATATTCTCTTAAAATAGTGGTTTAAACAAATTAGGGATTCTTTCTCTCACATGACAAGTCTGTAGATGTGCCGTCTAGTTGTGATGTAAGGGCTTTCAAGATGCCGTCAGAGACCAAGATTCCATTTTCTTTCTACTTCATCACGGTTAATGTGTACTTGCCTTGTGGTTGTAGTGTGGCCTATCTCTAGTGACTTCAGTTTATATATCATTGATCAGACATGTGTCAACTGCGTATAACCAGATAATTCTGAAAACTACTTTTCCCATTAGTCTTACTTACGAAGCATAGAATTGAACCTACATTTTCTATATTTTAGGTGAGACTGTTAAATGCAGGTTTTTTCAGTTGGGCACATCGATGCCCTGAGACAGATTGTACTTGAAAAAAAATCAAAAAACAAAGAATATTAGGAGATATTTTGTAAGAATTCAGTGACTTTTGCTATCATATATAAATAGCAACAGGTTTCTAGCTGTTTTTCTGAATCCTCTGAGGACAATTAAAAAATAATGGAAAGCTCTAACTTTAATCAAGAGTTCATTGAAAATGCAACCTTCTAATATTTACAGTAAGTATTATTTTTAAATTAAAAAAACTTTAAAAAGAATACTTCATGTGAGATATACCCTCTTAAATGTTTAACTGTACTATACATTGTTGTTGACGATATGTACAATGTGGTACAACAGGTTTCTTCTCTAGAGCTTATTCTGATTGCTTGACTGACACTTATTGCCCATTGATTGGTAATTCTCAATGTTTCCTCCCCTATCCTCCAGCCCTGGTAACCAACATTCTGTTATTTAATTCTATGAATTTGATTATTTTAGATACTCTTTAAGTGGAATTGTGGAAGTGTTTGTCTTTGTGGGACTTGTTTATTTCACTTAGCGTAATATCCTTAAGATTACCCATATTGTTGCACATTGCAGAATTTTCTTCTTTTTTAAGGCTGGACAGCATTGTATTATACACACACAGATAGACCATTTTCTCTATGCATTCATCTGTTGATGGACATTAAAGTTATTCCTGTATCTTGTCTGCAGTAAACATGAGAATGCTAGTATCTCTCTGAGGTCCTGATTTAATTCTTTGGGTAAATAAGCATGCTAGATCACATGGTAGTTCTACTTTAATGAGGAATTGCCATGCTGTTTTCTGTAACAGTTAAACCATTTTGCATTCCCGTCAGCAGTGTGCAAAGGTCCAGTTTCTTTTTTTTTTTTTTTTGACAGGCAGAGTGGACAGTGAGAGAGAGAGAGACAGAGAGAAAGGTCTTCCTTTGCCATTGGTTCACTCTCCAATGGCCGCCGCGCCCAGCGCACTGTGGCCAGTGCACTGCGCTGATCCGAAGGCAGGAGCCAGGTACTTATCCTGGTCTCCCATGCCGGGTGCAGGGCCCAAGCACTTGGGCCATCCTCCACTGCACTCCCTGGCCACATCAGAGAGCTGGCCTGGAAGGGGGGCAACCGGGACAGAATCCGGCGCCCCGACTGGGACTAGAACCCGGTGTGCCGGCGCTGCAAGGCGGAGGATTAGCCCAGTGAGCCGTGGCACTGGCAAAGGTCCAGTTTCTCCACATCCTTACTAACACTTGTTTTGTTTTTTGATAGCCAGCCTGAGAAGTGTGAGATATTTTGATTTGCAGTTCTCTGATACTAATATTGAAAATTACTGTTGTTTATTTGTGTGTCTTTGGATAAATGTCTGTTTTACTCACCTGATACTTTTAAAATCTGGTTATTATTTTTTTGCTGTAGTGTTGTAGGAGTTTGTTGCATATTTTTGGGATTAACCCCATATTGGATATGTAGCTCACACCTGTTTTCTTATGTTCCATAGCTTGTTTGCTCTCCCTCTTAGCAGTTTCCTTTAATGTATAAAACTGTTTTCATTTGAGGTAGTCCCACTTCTCTGTTTCTGTTTTCTGTGTTTTTGATATTATGTTTGTGAGATCATTGCCAAAACCAGTTTCATGAAGCTTTTGTCCTATTTCTTCTTTTAGGAGTTTTATAGTGTCAAGTCTTATATTTAAGTCTTTAATCCATGTTGAGTTGATTTTTGATATGGTGTAAGGGTCCACTTTCATTCTTTTACATGTGGATATTCAGTTTCCTTACCTTTGATTAAAGAGATTCTCTCCCCCTACTCCATTGTCTATTTTATTTGAAAGTTGGAGTTACAGAGAGTGAAAGAGAGAGAGAGAGAGAGATCTTCCATCTGCTGGTTCACTCCTGAAATGGCTGCACTGGCCAGGGTTGGGCCAGGCTCAAGCCAGGAGCCAGGGGCCAGAAATTTCATTCTAGTCTCCCACATGAGTACCAGGGGCCCAAGTACTCGGGCTGTCTTCCACTGTTTTCCCAGGCACATTAGATGGGAGCTGGATCAGAAGTGGAGCAATCAGGACTGGAACTGGCACCCATATGGGATGCCAGTACTGCAGATGGTGACTTTTGCCGCTACGCCACAGCCCTGGCCCCTACACTGTGTGTTCTTAGCATCCTTGTTGAAAGTCAGTTGACCATATATGTGTGAATTCAGTTCTGGGCTCTTTGTTCTGTTCCATTGGTCATGTATATGTTTCATTTTCTTTTTTTTGACAGGCAGAGTGGACAGTGAGAGAGAGAGACAGAGAGAAAGGTCTTCCTTTTTACCGTTGGTTCACCCTCCAATGGCCACCGCGGCCCGCGCGTTGCGGCCGGCGCACCGCGCTTGATCCGATGGCAGGAGCCAGGAGCCAGGTGCTTTTCCTGGTCTCCCACGGGGTGCAGGGCCCAAGCACCTGGGCCATCCTCCACTGCACTCCCTGGCCACGGCAGAGGGCTGGCCTGGAAGAGGGGCAACCGGGACAGGATCCGGCGCCCTGACCGGGACTAGAACCCGGTGTGCCGGCGCCGCTAGGCGGAGGATTAGCCTAGTGAGCCGCAGCGCCGGCCTGTTCCATTGGTCTTTATGTGTGTCTTTATGTCAGTACCATAATGTTTTGAGTACAGTAGCTTTGTGATGTATTTTGAAATTGAGAAGTGCAAATATTAATTTGTACTTTCCAGGGGTTGGTTTGGATATTTGTGGTCTTTTGTGGGCCTGTAAGAATTTTAAGAGGTTTTTCTATTTTTGTAAAAATGACCCTGGGATTTTGATGAACAGTGCATGGAATCTGTAGATCTCAAATAAATCTTTTTTCCAATAAAAAAAGATACAAATTGCCTCATTTGTGGATGCCTCTTTTGCACAGTAGTAATAGTCAGAATTATTCTTGTATGGATTACATTTACTGTTGCCCTGAAAAAATATTGCATATGTATAAGACTTGGTTAAGAATGTTCATATGACTGGCAAGCACTGTGACATAGTGTATCAGACTGCTGCTTGGGACCCTCACATCCTGTATTGGAGTGCCTGGGTTAGATTTCTGCCTCTGATCAGCTTCCTGCTAATGTAGACCATTGGGGACAGTGATGATGGTTGAAGTATTTGGTTTCTTGCCACCGATCTGGGAGACCTGGATGGAGTTCCTCGCTTCTGGCTTTGGCCGGACCCAGCTGTGGCTTTTGAGCCATTTGGGGAGTGAACCAGAGGATGGAAGGTGTCTCTCCCTCTCTCCCCCCTTCCCTCCCTTCCTCTCTCTCTCTCTCTCTCTCCCCCCTCCCTCTCCCTCTTCTCTCTCCCACCTTATCATCCCTCCCTGTCTCCCTCTCTCCTTCTTAATTGCTTTGCCTTTCAAATAATAAATAAATAAATAAACTTAAAGAAAAAAGAGTGTTCCTTTCAATATCAGTGGTAATAGTAAAAGCCTGGAAGTGGCTTTAGTATTCATAAATAAGGGGAAGTGTCTGATAAGCCATGCTGTTTTCATACAGTAAAATACTGTGTAGTTTTTTTTAATAAACATATTTTTAAAGATTTATTTATTTGAAAAGCAAAGATAGAGAGAGAGAGAGATCTTCTACCCTCTGATTCACTTCCCAAATGGCCACAACAGCCAGGACAGGGCCATGCCAAAGCCAGGAGCCAGGAGCTTCAGCTGGGTCTCCCAGCATGGGTACAGGGGCCCAACTACTTGGGCCCTTTTCTGCTTCTTTTCTAGGCTCATTATCAGGGAGCTGGATCCTAAGCAGAGCAGCCAGGACTCCAACCAGTGTCCAAATGGGATGCAAGCACCACAGGCTTAACTGCCATAGTGCTGGCCCCCTGCTGTGTGGTTTTTAAAAGGAAGTTGTCTGTAATAGTGTTAGACCTACAAGACTTTGTAAATTGAAGAAAATGAAGTTACAAAACAGAATGTACAACATGGAATTAAAACTCTTTAAGTAGAATATAACAATTTTTTGGTAAATATATATTTGAAGAGTCATGGATTTTAAATTCTGAAAATTTGTTAATGCTATGATTATTGTTCAGGGTTCTCGGTGCTCTTCTGATGCTAACATGCTTGGAGAGATGATGTTTGGCTCAGTAGCAATGAGCTACAAAGGGTCTACCTTAAAAATTCATCAGATCCGGTAAGTTTTCTGATTTTTTTAAAAAATGAAGCTATTTGTGGATATTCAGGGTTTTGGTTTTGTTTTGTTTTGTTTTTTGAAGAGGAGACAATTTCAAGTGATCTTCACCCAGTTTGAACAAGTCATATACTCAGTTTTCGATGTTCTCTAGTTTTAATTCTACTTTATGGCTCTTGTGTCTGTGCTCTGAAGTTTCTGTGACTTACGCTTTTTCATTTATAATAAATCTCAAAAGGTCACTGAGTTGTAGTTTTGATCTGTGTGTAACCTTCTCTTTTTCTTCATAGTTCCCCTCCACAGCTGATGCTCAGTAAGGTTTTTACTGCTCGCACTGGCAGCAGTATCTGTGGAAGTCTCAATACGTAAGTGCTTATGGATGGTGGGGGAACAGACTATTTTAAGATTGCTAAGTACAAAAATAACAAACTGCTTTCAGGATTGTAGCACAGATTTAGCTTTTCTGCCCTGCCTTCAGTTTGAAAGTTTAGAGAGGCAAGAGTGCATCCTCATTTGAGTTTAGTTGTAAAATAGGAGATGTGGTTTCTTTAATTTGCTGGAAGATATATCTATAATGAAAATGTTGACTGTTTCCATCTTAGCTTAACATTGCCAATTTTTAGTTTCATAGTTCTGTGCTCAGTATCTGTGGGGATATTCTCTTCAATTTTCAGCTTCTCTGCACAGTTAGCCCTGAAGACAGAAACAGTGTAGATCAGCCATATGGGTATTACACATAATACTTAGTGTAATGGCCACAGTGGTATTACATGTTGTTAATGCCAGAGTTTGAATAGCAAGACTGAAATAAGTGCAGACGTGTATCAGGATCATGAAGCCTGTGCCACAGTCTAACACATGAAGTACGAGGGTTTGGATTAGGTGGTAGTAGACCCCAAAGATGGATTCTGCAGTTGGCATGTTAGAAGTGGATTCACTAGCTAGTCAGCTGTCCCCATCAGAGGGATAACCCGAGTTCTCCAGAAGCAAGAGGCGGCAAGGAGACTGCTTGAGACAAGATAAATTCTTTTGAGTCCCCGCTAATTGTTAGTGCCTTAGAAAGAACTTCTGTTCTGAGGAGCTTTGCTAGCTAAATTTCTAATACCTGTAACTCTTTTCTTTTAGGAAGAAAACAAAGGAGGATATGTTCTTTAATTATTGTGGATACTAGGGAGCCAGTGTCTGTTCTGGCACAGCAGGCTAAGCTGCTGCTTGAGATGCCAGCATCCCATGTGGGAGTGATGGTTGAGCCCTGGCTGTGTTGATTTTCATCTTAGTTCACTGCTAATGTGCCTGGGAGGGCACTGGAGGATGGCCCAAGTACTTGAGCCCCTGCCACGCACATGGGAGACCAGGATGAAATTCCTGGCTCCTGGTTCTTGGCTTTCACCTGGCCCAGACCTTGCTCTTGCAGCCATTTTGGGAGTGAACCAGCAGATGGGAGACTTCTGTCAGCTTCCTCTCTCTCTGTTACTCTTAAAAAAAAACTGCAGACACTTAAAATATCTTGATGATAAAAATACTGATTTTTAAAAGTTTTACAAAAGCAGAAACTAAAGACCCTGATTGGCATCTCCTTTTTCAGCTTTTTCATCTGTTTCTTCATCTTTTCTAAGACTTTTTTTTCCCTCAAGATTATTTATTTGAAAGGCAGAGTCACAGAGAGAAAGGGAAAGACAGAGAGAAAAAGAGGTCTTCCATCTGCTGGCTCACTCCCCAAATGGTTGCAAGAGCAAGATCTGCTCCAAATCAGAGCCAGGAACCAGGAGTCAGGCACTCTATCCTGGTCTCCCCCATGGGTGGCAGGGGCCCGTTCTCTGCTTTCCCAGGCGCAGTAGCTAGAAGCTGGATTGAAAACGGAGGAATCAGGACTTGAACTGGCACTTATATGGAATGCTGCCATTGCATGCTGTGGCTCAAAAATGAGAGGGCCAAAGCTGGGAGCTGGAAATTCAGTCTTGGTCTCCCATGTGGGTAGCATGAACTCACTGACTTGAGCCATCACTTCCCTATAGGCCATTTTTAACATGTGGTCTAAAGGTAGTTCTTAGATATTTGGATGATAATGATGGTAAACATGCCCCCCCCCCCTATATATTTAAAAAATATTTTCAGGTCCAAAATACAAGGGAAAGCTTTGATTGTAGTTTAACTCATGGTTAGCAACTTTTTTTTTTTTATCTGTAAAGGGCAAGATAATAAATATTTTTGACTTTATGACCCAATGGTCTATTAAGAGTTCCTCAACCCTGCCACTGTAGCATTAAAGCAACAAAAAACAATATATTACATGAATGGAAATGGCTGTGTTCCAGTAATTTTTTTTCACTCAGAGATAGCAGATTGATAATTTGCCAAGCCCTGATTTAAATGCTTAGTTATCATTAATAATTGTTATCATTAATTGTTTGTAGTACTAATACAGCAATGTAAAACTTAAGTGTTTTGCACTTAAAATTTCATTGAGTTGTACAAAGGATTGCCATTGAAAACATAAAATGAATGTAGAATTTTTTTTTCCCTCTCCGTAGGCTGCAAGACAGTCTTGAATTCATCAATCAGGACAATAATACATTAAAGGCTGATAATAACACAGTTATTAATGGACTACTAGGAAATATAGGTAAATAGTACTTTGACTTTTATAAGTTTAAAAATGTTAACAGTTCAGTAAGTTTTGAAGTTATTTCATAATGATGTACATCTGGTGGTATGAGACCAAAGAATTTCAAATGCTATAAGTGGAAAAGGCATTCAAATTGAAAGTATGTATAATAGTTGCATTAGTTGGAAAACATTTTTCATATATTAGGACGTAATACTTTGTATCTGAAAAAATGCTAAAGATACGTCTAATTTGTATGGGTGGTTTTTTGGTACTTTTTTTAAAAAAAGATTTATTTATTTTACTTGAAAGGCAGAGTTACAGAAAGTGAGGGGGAGAGAGAGAGCGCTTCCACCCGCTAATTCACTCCCCAAATGACCACAATGGCTAGGCCGAAGCCAGAAGCTTTTTCTGAGTCTCCCACATGGGTGAAGGAGCCCATGCGTTTGGGCCATCCTTTGCTGCTCTCCCTGGATTGGAAGTGGAGCATCCAGGAATTAAACTGGTGCCCACATGGGCTGTGCTGATGTTGCAGGTGGCAGCTTAGCCTGGTATGCCATGGTGCCGGCCCTGGTTTTGTTTTTAAATTTGTTGTATCTTTAAAAGGTACTGTCATTGATATGAAAAGCCCCTTACTGGCATTCTTTAAATATTTCTAAAGAAAACTCATAATATACCATCTTTCTCTCTTCCCTAAAAATAAAAGTCATTTTAAGTGGTACTCATTTTTTAACCAGTAATTCAGATGAACAATTATGAAAATTTGGTGTTTCTTAAAAGATTTTCTATAATGTCACCTTATTTAATAATTTGGTGAGCTGATTAGTGTTATTTGAGTTCAACATTTTTAATTGAAAAACTGTTTCTAGAATTTCTTTCCTTTGTCTAGAAAACTGGACCAAATTGCTGCTAACCATATTTGCAGTGCATGAATAGATGTAGTAGTTCAAGGGATGGACAGCAGTTAGGATAGTATGAATATTTCTCTCATTCCTTGTTTAGTAAGAAATTTTATTTTTATGAAGATTTATTCATTCATTCATTCATTCAAAATCCAGTCACAGAGAGAGGAGTAGAGGCAGCTGGTTCACTCCCCAAATGGCCAGAATGGCCAGGGGTGGTCCACACCGAAGCCGAGAACCAGGAATCTGGGTCTCCCACATGGGTGCAGGGTCCCAAGTACTTGGGCCATCTTCTGCTGCTTTCCCAGGTGCATCAGCAGGGAGCTACATCAGAAGTAGAGCAGCTGGGACCCAAACCATTGCCCATATGGGATGCTGGCATTGTAGGTGGCAGGTTAACCCACTATACCACCACACCAGCCCTAAGAACTTCTCTTTATAATTAATTTTAATAAATATTTATTAGTTGTATGTATTAATAGGAAACAGTTTTTCTTCTGACTTGAACAGTATAATATTCCAGTTATTTTATATAATTGATGTTTATTCAAATGAGCAACCGTTTATTAAGCACCTAATGTGGGTTGGTCTTTGTGTTAGGCACATACTTAACATGTGTGTTTTATAGAAAAATAGAAGTTCCATCTTAACTCGCTTGATTAATTCATTGATTTTAGTAGAGTGAAAATATGACAAAGAAGTAACTGAATCATATTTCTTTATAATTTGACACTTTAAGCTTCACAGAGCCTATTAAAAGCTGTTCATTTTAATAATACAAATCTATTATCACTTATAAATTATACTGCAGAGCAGTGATGGGGAACTTTTTTTCTGCCAATGGTCATTTATATATTTATAACATTTATTCTTGGGCCTTACGGAATTATCAACTGTAAAATTAGCCTGCTGTAGATTTATTGCATTTTCTGTCCTGACTGTAGTTCCTTTGGCAGGACCAGACAAAATGATTATGTGAACCTTATGCAGCCTGTGGGCTGGATGTTCCCCATCCCTGCTATAGAGACCAAACATAATCACCCTTTTGATATAGTAGAAAGATAATCGGTTTACATTTGAGTTTAAATAATGAGCATTTACTTGCACACTCTGAAGAGTGAATCAAGGGTATTTGAAACCCCGTCCTTTAACTTTTCAGTTATGCAGTCATTGAGTATTGTAGAGTACCTGTAGTAGTCCATGTGCTCTGCTGGCCCTAAATATTCAGAGGTGACTCATATGCAGTTTTGCCTCAGTGGGTTTATAGTTAGAGCGAGTCAGAAAAATAACAGAAGACTTGCATTACTGTATTTTTACTACAGTTAATATTTCCTGTGTACTTACTGTAGTATAGTGTAGTAAATTCTTTTTTTTTAATTATATGCTTATTTTTTTTAAAGATTTATTTTATTTATTTGAAAGAGTTACAGAGAGGTAGAGACAGAGAGAGAGGTCTTCCATCTGCTGGTTCACTCCCCAGATGGCCGCAATGGCTGGAGCTGCGCCAATCCAAAGCCAGGAGCCAGGAGCTTCTTCCAGGTTTCCCATGTAGGTGCAGGGGCCCACGGACTTGGGCCATCTTCTACTGCTTTCCCAGGCCATAGAAGAGAGCTGGATTGGAAGAGGAGCAGCCTGGACTAGAACCACTGGCCATATGGGATCCTGGCACTTCATGCCAGGGCATTAACCCACTGCACCACAGCGCTGGCCCCATGTAGTAAATTCTTTAATGGAGTTAAAAGGAAGGTGTGATGAAAATGAGGAGAAGCACCTATTTTAGTCCTAGAGAGTGTTCCTTGAGGACATGATGCCTAAGCTTGAAGGATTACATAGACCTGGTAGAAGGACATCACAGATTGTGAAGAGAATGTGAATAAATTAATGCGGATGGCACACAGAGTAGGAGTAAAAGAAATGAAAAGAAATGAAGAATTAATTGAGCAAGAGTGAGATCACAAGGGACACTGTAAGTTACACTCAGGAATTTGAATTTGTGCTTTGTGCAGTTGGGTTCCTGTGCTGATGTGCTAGTTTGGGTTCTCCACCTCTTACTTTTTGTTTTTTTCCCCACCTGTTTTATTTTTTTTAAAACACATAACAGTACAGTATTAAATATGCAAGGATTTTGTTAGAGGAAATGACTGAAAGAAAATGAGGAGGGAGCTGGGAAGGGCTGGGAGATGAGTAGAACCCTAAGGGGAAGAGAGAAGGATAAAGGTGGGTGAAACTGGCTCAGCTTGCTCTCTAGTCAAAGGAAAGTTTCTCAAGTCCGTTGGAAAGTCTTTGAGTCAAAGTTGGCTGTCGGAAGTTTCCCGTGTCTCCCCAAAATGGACCTGCCTTATTACTTACTGTGTTTGTTTAGTCATCAGCCAGAGAAGTGTATGAGCTATGTATGAGCTGTGAGCTATGTGGCCTTGCACAAATGTGTCAGTGGTTTCCTGAACATGATGGCATGAGTTCTTAGTTAAAAAAATCAAAAAGCTCCTTGAGAGTGGAGATGTTCTAGGTGCATTCTAAGGCTGCCAGAGAGTAGTTTTCAGAATATCATCAGATCAGATTTGTTTCTGCTAAAGAATATTCTGACTGCAGTAGGAATGATTAAAGTAAGAAAGCGAGAATGAGAAAAGATCCATATTAGAAGACTGCTATGGTAGTTCAAGTGACATATAATGGTGGCCTAGAGTAAGGATGTGTTAGTGAGGATAGAGAATTGTTAAGAGATTCATTAAGAAATAGTGAACTGGAGTAAGTAATCAGATAGGGGAGGTAAGAGAAGAGGAATCAAGGATGGTACTTTGCTATTTGGTTGTATAATTGCATGGAGACTGGTGCTATTCACTGACGATCAGAATAGAATTTAGAATTATGACTTGAGGTTTAGGCATGGTGAATTGGAAGTGTTGGTGGTATATTCAAGTGAAGGTATTCATTATAGGTGTATTTTTATAAAAGCTCTTGTAACTTAAAAACTCATGAAGTAGTTTTCTCACTTGCATAAAGTCGAAAAGGTTGATCCTTATTGATGAATAGTTTTTCTCCTGTCTTTTCTTTGGGTTCTGCCATGTTAGCATGTGGTATCTAAGGTTGTGCTCCGCTGCATCAAACCAATGGAATGAGATCGCATCTGAGAAAAGGCATGTCCCCTTCATAACCACATCAGCCTGAAAGTGACATAGGTCACTTTTGTTCATATTCCCTTGGTGAGAAGTAATCACACCTACCTTAGGGGATTTAAGAAACACAGTCCTGTTTCCCAGAAACTACTTCATATTATTGAAGGGGCAGCGCAACACTTTGTTGGAAAGTTGGCTTCATCTGCCATGGATTTCAGAATCATTAGTGCACACATGGTAATTGAAAGCATAGGAATAGATGAGATGAGCTGGGAAATGTAAAGAATGAAAAGGAAAGATTGTTGAAGATGGAGCCCTGAGAGTACAGATTCATAGAAGGGCTAGGAGAAGAAAATCACACATAGACTAACAAGAACTGTAAAGTGGGCCGGCGCCGCGGCTCACTGGGCTAATCCTCCGCCTTGCGGCGCCGGCACACCGGGTTCTAGTCCCGGTCGGGGCGCCGGATCCTGTCCCGGTTGCCCCTCTTCCACGCCAGCCCTCTGCTGTGGCCAGGGAGTGCAGTGGAGGATGGCCCAGGTGCTTGGGCCCTGCACCCCATGGGAGACCAGGAAAAGCACCTGGCTCCTGGCTCCTGCCATCGGATCAGCGCGGTGCGCCGGCCGCAGCGCGCTGTCCGCGGCGGCCATTGGAGGGTGAACCAACGGCAAAAGGAAGACCTTTCTCTCTGTCTCTCTCTCTCACTGTCCACTCTGCCTGTCAAAAAAAAAAAAAAAAAAAAAGAACTGTAAAGTGTTTATAGGAACAGGGAGGGGGACGATTTACAGTGTATGTACAGTAGTCTCTCCTTTATCCATGGGCGTAAGCCTCTCAGTGAATGCCTGAAATGATAGATTATTACAGAACCCTATAGGAACATCGTTTCTTCCAGTATGTACATACCCATGATAAATTTTTTTTTGACAGGCAGAGTTAGACAGTGAGAGAGAGAGAGAGAAAGGTCTTCCTTCCGTTGGTTCACCCCCCAAATGGCTGTTATGGCCTGAGCGCTGCGCCGATCCGAAACCAGGAGCCAGGTTCTTCCTCCTGGTCTCCCATGTGGGTGCAGGGCCCAAGCACTTTGGCCATCCTCCACTGCACTCCCTGGCCACAGCAGAGAGCTGGACTGGAAGAGGAGCAACCGGGGCAGAATCTCGCGCCCCAACCGGGACTAGAACTCAGGGTGCCGGCGCTGCAGGTGGAGGACTAGCCTAGTGAGCCGTGGCGCCGGCCATGATGAAGTTTTGGTTTCTGAATTAGGCACAGTAAGGGATTAACAACAATAGGTAATAATGAACAGCATAGAGTATACTGTAATAGAAGTTCTGTGAATGTGGCTGCCTCTCTCAAAATAGCTTATTGTACTGTACTTGCCCTGCTTGTTGATCATGGGTAATGGAGACCTTTGAAGTAGATAATGGGGACTGCTGTAATTAACATTCAATACTGTTGTAGGGTAATAAAAAATAGTATGAGCTTCATTAAACAAAAAGTTTTCCTGTGGCCTAGGTTAGCAGTTTCACTAGGGGTAGTAGAAGGCAGAACTGAGAAGAGACTCAGGTTAATCTTTTTTCAAAGATGCAAGCAGTTTACAAACTTTTTGGTTTCAGGACCCCTTTCTACACTTGGAAATTATTAAAGACTGCAGACAACTTTGCTTATGTGGGTTATAATTATTTATGTATACATATTGTACAAGCTGAACATCCCTAATCCAAACATTCCAAATCCAAAATATTCCAAAATCTAAAATTGTGTTATTTTTGACATGACACCATGGGTGGAAAATTTGAACATTATAAAATATTGTTTTATGTACAAGAGCATTAGAAGAATTATTGCATAAAATTATGTTTATGCCATGTGTATAAGGTATATATGAAAAAGGAATTGAAAATAATTTAACATGGAGATTGTGTTTGGACTTGGATACCATCTTCAAGGTGTCTCATGTGCATAACACATAATCTAGACAACCTGCATCCCATATTGGAGTGACTGAGTTCGATGTGAATTAGGAATTAAAACTGGGGGCTGGCATTATGGCATAGCAGGTTAAGCCTCCACCTGCTATGCCAGATTCCCATGTGGGTGCTGGTTCAAGTCCTGACTGTTTCAATTCTGATTCAGCTCTCTGCTGATTTGTCTGGAAAAGCAGCAGAAGATGGCCCAAGTCCTTGGGCCCCTTCATCTGTATGGGACACTTGGAAGAAGCTCTGGGTTCCTGGCTTTGGCCTGGCTCAGCCCTGGCCATTGCAGCTGTTTGGGGAGTGAACCTGTAGATGCAAAATGCAAGATTCTCTCTCTCTCTTTCTCTCTCTTTAGTTCTGCCTTTTAAATAAATTTTTAAAAAGTCTTAAAAAAGAAAACCCTGAAAAAGATTTTAAAAAGGTTTATTTGGTAATTTTTAAAAAATACCCCTTTTATAACCCTTTTCATGTTAACATAAGTAATGTATTTTATGAAATAATTTTTTCAAGGCAAATAAAACTTAGAAGAGTAACATTGTTTTAGGTTTTTTTTCCAAGTCTCTTTAATATTTGGCTTCATAGAAGACATCTGGATTTTCATATTTGCTCCAACATTCAATCTTTTTCAATATGTTATTTTGGTTGAAATGTGTCAGGAAAATGCTGTCACAGATATGTAGTTGGAAAATGAGGACCTCACAGACCTGAAAGAAATCTTACGAATTGCCAGAGATCCTGAATTGTCAGATTAGCTATTTGGGAGAAAGAAGAGAATTGACTGTGTTTAAATGTTGATGAGAAAGGGAAGTTACAAGAAAGATGAGATTAAAGGTAGATGTGATAATTGGTAGAGGGAAGGTTTTTTTTTTTTTTTTTTTTTTTAAAGAAGAATGAGGATTTGGGATCCTATCATATAATTAGGTTTGGAAGAGAAGGAGGTACTTCAGAAGTTAAGTCACTAGCTCATCGTTAGTCCTGAATAACACTACCTGTTACTGCTTGGCTTAAGGAAGGAGGCCAGGATGAGTGAGAATTTAAGTTTAGAGGGAAAGTGATAGGAAAAGGAAGGTTCTCATCTGGTACACATGTATGCATGTGCATACTCTAGGAAACAAAGTTGTATGCTGGAAACAAGTGGGTAGGGAAAGAATTTAAGGAAGTGGCTAAGTTTTGAATTAACTAGAGGGAAAGTAAGCTTAAGGAGAAATCAAGAAAGAGTTGCTCATTGAGACATGGAAAGATTGTGGCAACTGCACTATAGTTATGTAAATTATTACAAAAAGATAATATCTAATTGCAGTTTGAAAAAAAAAATGTACCCCTTTAAACCAGAAGGCTCCCTATTCTCTTTTAGGTATGCCTCCTACATGGTTATTTAAACTCAATTGATTAAACATGACTAACAGGTAACCTGGTTGCTTGCTTCCAGGCCGTAATGCCATTTTTGGGTCTTCAGACTGCTTTTATCTTCTGTTGGTCAAGTGTGTGACAGCCACTTCTCCTGGATGCCAGGGAGTTTGACCCTGATGGGCTGTGCTGACATTCCTGCTTCTGTTCCTTTGTAGCTTATCACTAGCTTAGAAAAAATTGTCTTTATACTTATTTGTCAATAAGATTGTTTTTATGTATTTGCTCCCTGTTATATGCTGTATGCCAAGTGCATAGGTGGTTTTCTCCTTGCTGTAATTTTAGAAAATACTGTAATCTTAAAACTAACTTTTAAAAATAAGTTTATTTGGCAAATGCAAAATTATATAGACAGGTTACTGTGCTTTTTTTGAATATTTTATAGCATTGAACATTTACAATAATTTTACCTCATATAGTAGAAGCTTATTTCTGTTGTATACAGATTTGTTGATAAATAGACATGAAATTGTTATTTGACATATACCGTAACCAAAAGGGAACTATCTGTTTCAAAAAGGGAAGCCATCCTGAATTACTCAAGTTTCCATCCATATCTGTTGGTCTGTTCTTTTGCTCTCTTTTTCCTGACACAGTGTGGCTTCTCTAACAGCCCTCTTTCCTGTGTATTTTACGTTTTTGCCATGTAGGTCTTTCACAGTTCTGCAGCCCCAGGCGGGCATTCTCTGAGCAGGGTCCGCTCCGACTGATCAGGAGCGCCTCTTTCTTTGCAGGTTTGCCATGTGCTGTGTGGGTAGACTAGCTGGTGTGCCCCAGCGGCTAGAATCTGTAGTTCAACTGTGGAAACAAGAGAGTATATATAAGTGCAGTATGGGAGACTTTGGCTAAAAAAACATTGCTTGGGAAGTATAAAACTTACTTTTTTTTCCCTACTTAGTATGTTATTAAAGTTTCCAGAAACTGAGATATCAGTGAAATTAAATGTTTATGAAATTCCAGTTTCTCATGTCTCAGATGATTTTAACTCTAGAATCTTAAACCAAAATTTAATATGAATATTATTTCTTAAAATACCATGTGGAGTTTTTAATGTGACACTGTCTTGTTTCCATGGCTTGAGTAGCTTTTGTACCATATTTCACCAGTTGGAGAAATACCCTATTATTATTGTAAAATTTCTGATCTACACTATTCCATAAGAGCAATTTTTCTTGGAGCTAAGATTTAGATGAACAAGCACCATTATAACGCTCTATGAAAAGGCGTATATATTTGTTTATATCATTGCCTTGATTGTAGAGTAGGTCTTCCTGCTTGTAAATACAGTTTTCGGATGGTACTCCATGGTTTTACACATTTCACATAGAAATACCTAGCATTGTAACATTCTGGTAGAAATTATCAGAATATAAATAAATTTACTTGTAATTTTTCTGTTTGGTATCTATGTTGCCCTTCTCATTTTGATTAATGTTTACTTATAAATATTAGATATGAACAACACCTTTATTTTAAAAAATATAAAAAATAAGTAAAAGATATTAGCAATTTTGTTATCTAGAAATACCTTTAATTTTTAATTAAGATCACAGTATTCAAACATGTCTCAAAATTCATTTAAAAATTTTTACATTTATTATATTTGTCTAAAAATTGATACAAGCAGAGTCAGACAAATGAATCATGATGTACCCATTATGTAGACCCAGCAACCATCATTCATGCTGTTCTAAAGCTTGTGTTTTTCAAAATGTTAAATGATATTGTAAATATTATTTTGAATATGATTCTCAAATACAAATTTTGGTCACCCTTTTCATCTTTAGATATTGTTTCATAGGTTATTTTTGTACTATATGTGAATGCTTCAGATATCTCTCAAAGCTTGTTCAACTGAGTAATAGCTCATGGTGTTGGGCTGGTGTCATGCTGTTGGAAAAGAGGAATGCATTCAGATGAGCATGATTTGATTGGATGTTTTATGAAGGAGCAATGTCACTTGAATAGCAGTATATTTTATAACTTTCAGTTCTCTCTTGATTCACAGTTCACAGCAACCCAATGGACATGCCTGGAAGAGAGCTGAATGAGGACAGAGACAGTGGCATAGCACGCTCTGGTAATACCAGATTCATGAGTTAATATTTTTAATAAGTTCACTGTTTTTTTAATAAGTTAACTGGTTTCAATTTTATTGATCCTGCTTTCATTATCTAATTGTATGTATATAATTTGTTCATATCGTTAATAGCCTTACTAGAGAATTGCAGAAAGAGTAAAGGAAAGTCTCCTAAATTTAACATTTTTCATGTTTACTATTAAGTGTGCCTGATGGAATATGGCCAGAATGAATATATGGTGGCTTAGAATTAACCACTACTAGAGAAAAGTTTTATTTGAGAGACTATTTAGAAATCATAGAAGACACATTTGCTTCTATCTGTTTGCTAGTGATTAGGGTTTAAACTGTCAGATTTTTTGCCCAGAACAGCTTAGATATTTTGAACCAGTGCTATACATATTTCTTGCAAATACAGACTTTTCTAAAAATTTGTGTGCTAATAAACATTTGTTGAAACATGCTGAAGATGAAAAAAAAAAAAAGGGTAGAGCCCAGATTCTGCCCTTAAGGAAGGCAAAAGCAGAGTCTACCAGGAGAGGAGATGGGAAAATCATCATAGTTCATTGTGTGATGTGTTCTAGAGAAAGGGCACCTAATTTAGCCTGGTTAGAGGCAGGGTAACAGCAATGCTTTATACAGGGATGATACTTGAGTTTTGTCTTTTTTTTTTTTTTTTTTTTTTTGACAGAGTGGATAGTGAGAGAGAGACAGAGAGAAAGGTCTTCCTTTTTTTTGCCATTGGTTCACCCTCCAATGGCCGCCACGGCTGGCATGCTGCGGCCGGCGCACCACGCTGATCCGAAGGCAGGAGCCAGGTGCTTCTCCTGGTCTCCCTTGGGGTGCAGGGCCCAAGCACTTGGGCCATCCTCCACTGCCTTCCTGGGCCACAGCAGAGAGCTGGCCTGGAAGAGGGACAACTGGGAAAGAATCCGGTGCCCCGACTGGGACTAGAACCCAGTGTGCCGGCACCGCTAGGTAGAGGATTAGCCTATTGAGCCACGGCGCTGGCCTGAGTTTTTTTTTTTTTGTTTTGTTTTGTTTAATCTTTTATTTAATGAATATAAATTTCCAAAGTACGACTCATGGGTTACAATGGCTTCCCCCCCCATACCGTCCCTCCCACCCACAACCCTCCCCTTTTCCACTCCCTCTCCCCTTCCATTCACATCAAGATTCATTTTCGATTATCTTAATATACAGAAGATCAGCTTAGTATACCTTAAGTAAGGATTTCAACAGCTTGCTCCCACACAGAAACATAAAGTGAAAAATAATAGATGATTTTTTTAAATGATGATGAAATCAGATCAGACCTATTGTCATGTTTAATCCCAGTGAGAGTCAAGTTGGGAATTGATAATTTCTTTTTTTTTTTTTTTTTAACAGAAGATCAGTTTAGTGTACATTAAGTAAAGATTTCAATCGTTTGCACCCCCATAGAAACACAAAGTGAAATATACTGTTTGAGTACTCATTATAGCATTAAGCCTCAGTGTACAGCACATTAAGGACAGAGATCCTACATGAGGAGTAAGTGCACAGTGACTCCTGTTGTTGACTTTACAAATTGACACTCCTGTTTATGGCATCAGTAATCTCCCTATGCACCAGTCATGAGTTTCCAAGGCTATGGAAGCCCCTTGAGTTCTCCGACTCTTATCTTGTTTAGACACAGTCATAGTCAAAGTGGAGGTTCTCTCCTCCCTTCAGAGAAAGGCACCTCCCTCTTTGAAGACCTGTTCTTTCCACTGGGATCTCACTCACAGAGATCTTTTTGCCAGAGTGTCTTGGCTTTCCATGCCTGAAATACTCTCATGGGCTTTTCAGCCAGATCCGAGTGCCTTTAGGGCTGATTCTGAGGCCAGAGTGCTGGCCTGAGTTTTGTCTTAAGAAGTAAATAGGAGTTATCCGAAGAAAGGCATAGAAAAAAAGGCATTTTTTTTTTTAGATAAAAGTATTTGTTGGGGCCCAGAGGTCAGTGTATATGAAAGGAGGAGTAATCATAGGTTTGAAATGCTGTTGGAAATGTAAAACTTACTTCTCTGTAGTTATCCCCATGTGTTGTTGCATTATATGGCTCTGTTGTCCAGATTGCTTTTGATTTAGTTTTAGTAGAAATGAAAGTCAAATCTTACCACATATTGTAATCCCTGGGTGTGTATCATAATAACATGGAGAAGTTTCCCAAAATTTTTTCAGATGCCTAAACTCTGCTTCCAGAAACCCTGATTTAACTTAGAGAAGTGCATGGGCATCTTTTTTTTAGAAACATCAAAATGAAAAACTCAACACCTGAATCTCAGGGACAGCTAGGATTGAGAACCACTACTTTTATAGGAAGAGTTTGCATTTTTCAAATGATGTCATCCTTTTTTTATTTTTTTAAAGATTTATTTATTTATTTTAAAAATCACAGAGAAAGAGGTTGAGATTGATCATCTGTCTGGTGGTTCACTGCTAGTTGGCTGCAACAGCCAGTGCCAGGCCAGGCCAGAGCCAGGAGTGGGTGGCAGGGGCTCAAACACTTGGGCTACCCTCAGCTGCTTGTCCCAGGCCATAAGCTGGGAGCTGGATAGGAAGTGGCCCAGGCAGGACACTAACTGCTGCCCATGGCTTTAGCCATTACAACATAATGCTGGCTCCCTCATCCTTATTTTCTAATTGAGTTTGTTATTTTTGTTTTTAAGAATCTAGAGTCAAGCCTGTTGGTTCTGTGTAACCTACAGATTTACTCTATATTCTCTGCTGTAGCAGGATTTTTTTTAATGATTTTTAAATTGATAGATAAAATTGTATTTATTATATGCGTACGTGATGTCTTGAAGCACTTACATACTGTGAAATGATTGAATTAGCTAATTGACGTATGCATTGCCTCACATACCTACATCTACTCTTGTAGCATTCCTCAAAAATACAGTATATCACAGTTTCTTGTAGTCAACATGCTGTTGGGTAGATCTCTTGAACTTAATGCAAGGAATAAGTGATGGGAATTTAGATGTCATTTTATTCAAGATTTAAGAAGTGACACATTCATTTCTCTATACTTCTTTTTTTCCAACTGTAAGTTGAAGGACGAGGCTAAACTGATCTGTAATGCTGTTTCAGGTCATTAAATTCACATATACCTTTTAAGTTAATTGTGTTTTCTTTTTAAAATAGAGTTTACTTAATATAGAAAATATTAAAATGTATTTTTTCTAAATATAGAGTAGCATTTTATTTTTCATTGAATTTATTCCCAGATTAGTTGTACATACCCAACTTTACTACCGAGTTTTACAATGCTAATTGATGAAATGTGGGCTTTTCAGAAAGATAGCTTAGAATGTATCCATCAGTGGTCCACATGGTTGCAGAGCACAGAAAGCTTTGCCTTTTGTCATTGAATTTGATACAGCTTAAATGAATAAATCTTGATGACAATATCTCAGTTTTTAGTTCTAGTATCCAAAGCATTTATCATCTGGCATGTACCTTTTTTTTTAAAGTTTTCATGTATTTATTTGAGAGGTAGAGTTACAGACAGAGGAGAGAAAGAAAGGTCTTCATCTGCTGGTTCACTCCCCAGATGGCCATAACGGCTGGAGCTGAGCCAATCCAAAGTCAGGAGCCAGGAGCTTCTTCCGGGTCTCCTGTGCAGGTGCAGGGGCCCAAGCACTTGGGGTGTCTTCTATTGCTTTCCCGGGCTGTGACAGAGAGCTAGATCAGAAGAGGAGTGGCTGGGACATGAACTGGTGCCCATATGGGATTCTGGTGCGCCAGACAGAGGCTTAGCCTGATATGCCACAGCGCCAGTCCCAGCATGTATCCTTTTATAAATAATACTTCCCTGTTTTGATCACAGATTTTCAGTATGTGGTTGTAATCATGAAGTTGAAAATGAAAAATATTGCCAAACTAAAATATGCCTGAATAGCACATGTTATCCTCTCTAGGTCCTGCTCGGGGGGAGTTACGGGAGGATCTCTAATCTTAGTTAAAAATAAAGTGTTATAGTACTCCCTACCCCAAGGCAAGAGACAGGTCTTCTGGAGTTTGGAGAAAGATTTTGCAAAGGGAGTAATCCCTACACCTGGGAATTTAGCAGTTCTAATTTGAACTACTGGAATTTGTGTGTCACCTTTGAATGCTCCAGAGAGCAATCTATAGCATCTTCTCATTTTGGGAGTTTAGTAGTGATAAACTTGACTCCCTAGGCATACATAATCTGGGAGTACTTGTACATAACCTCTTTGAATGACTGTAGCTCAAGTGTAGTTCTTGTTCTTAAAATTCATCTGCTTTATTGAGTTTGAATAGCGTCAAATTCCCTGTAATTTAAGGACTAAAACAATGTAGCTAAGTTAGGTGGTGGTCTGGTGCACAAAGAAATACCTTGTTGAACAGTAGCGTTTTCTTTTGGATAAAGTGGAATTCTCTTAGAGTGGAATCTCCTGGTCTCTGGCCAGTACACTGTTAACATGTTATTTATCTCCTCTGAGACCTTGCTCTGAGAATGAGGTGTTTTTCACTATTAAAAAATTATTTATTTATTTAAACAGAGGGAGCAGGAAGCAGAGAGAGCATGTATGTGCGCTCCCATGAGAGAGAGTGAGTGGGCGTGCTCCTGCACTGCTATGTGCTGGCTGACTCCTTAGTTGCCCCCATCCGCCAGGGCTGGGCCGGGAACTCAGTCTGGATCTCTCACACGGGAGGCAGGAACTGAATTGCTGGAGCCATCCCTGCTGCCTCCCAGATTCTCCATTAGCAGGAAGCTGGAGTCAGGAGCCAGAGCCCAGTGGTTTAATCCAAATACACCTTTGTGGGACGACAGGCGTCTTCACTGCTAGGTCAACCACCTCAACCTAATGTATTTTTTAATGGAAATTTTAGAGGCTCCTGATGCAAATGAAAATTTCAGTCACTTTCTTCTTTAATTTGTTGAAAACAAAGTTGCCAATTAACAACTTACACATTATGCTTGTTTTTCTGACTTAACAGCATCTCTCAGCAGCTTGCTTATCACTCCATTTCCCTCTCCAAACTCCTCCCTTACTCGGAGTTGTGCTAGCAGCTACCAGCGACGTTGGCGCCGCAGCCAAACAACAAGTTTGGAAAATGGGGTATTTCCTAGATGGTAAGTTGGAATGTAAACAGGTTTGAATAGTTCCTTAAATCCAATTTTAATGTGATTTTTTAGAGCCTGAACTTGTAATTTGTGCATTTAAAGTCTGGAACTGAAAACTTACAAAACTTACTAAATTTTCTTAGTGTTGTAAGTTATACAAATAATTTACCATTTTATTCATTTTTAGTTGCAAGGAGTATTGGCATTAAAGAACCTCCATTGTTGTATATGGTTCTGACTCCAGAACTTTTTCATATTACCAAACTGAAATTCTGTACCCATTTCACTCCCTGTTCCTTTTTCCCTTCCTCTTTATACCACTTTTCTGTCTCTCTGATTTGACTACTATAGGTGCTTTATATAAGTACAGTTTTCCCATAATGTCTTCAAGACTCATCCATCTTGTTGCATGTGTCAGAAATTCATTACTTTTTTTTTTTTTTTTTTTTGACAGGCAGAGTGGACAGTGAGAGAGAGAGACAGAGAGAAAGGTCTTCCATTGTCGTAGGTTCACCCTCCAATGGCCGCCGCGGCCGGTGCACCGCGCTGATCCGATGGCAGGAGCCAGGTACTTATCCTGGTCTCCCTTGGGGTGCAGGGCCCAAGCACTTGGGCCATCCTCCACTGCACTCCCAGGCCACAGCAGAGAGCTGGCCTGGAAGAGGAGCAACCGGGACAGAATCCGGTGCCCCCACCGGGACTAGAACCCAGTGTGCCGGCACCGCAAGGCAGAGGATTAGCCTAGTGAGCCACGGTGCCAGCCGTCATTACTTTTTTACCACATTTTGTTTATCCATTCATATGTTGATGGACATTCAGACATTCATCAATTGATGGACATTCCATCTTTTGGCTATTGTGAATACCGCTGCTGTGAATAGGAGTATATAGATCTCTGATAGAATACCTGTGCTCAGTTCTTTGGGGTACATACTCAGAAGCCAAATTGCTGGATCATGCAATAATTCCATTTTTTTGAGGAGTTTCACTGCTTTCCATGGTGTCTGCACCATCTTATATCCCCCCCACCCCTCACAGTATAAGGGTTCTAGTTTGTCCACATTGTCACTAATATGTGTTATTCTCTTTTTTTAAGAAAAATTAATATTATATACCTATGTATACCTATACTAATTGTCATGAAAGGTTTTTTTTTTTTAAATGTGGTTTTCATTTCTATTTTCCTAATGATTAGTGATGTTGAACATCTCTTCGGGTGTTTATTGGACATTTATATATCTTCTTCGATAAATGACTGCTTCAGTTCTTTGTCCAGTTTTTATTTGAGTTTGCTTGTTTTTGTTGTTGAGTTGTGAGAGTTCTTACATATTTTGGATGTTAACTCCTTGTCATATATATTGTTTTCAAATAGCATCTCCCATTCCATGGCTTGCTTTTGCCCTGTTGATAATGTCTTTTTATGTATAACATTTTAAATTTTTATATAGTCTAATTTATGTATTTTTTTTGCCTGTACCTTTTATATTATATTCAAGAAACCATTTCCAAGTTCAATATCATGAAGCTTTTACCCTTTGTTTTCTTCTAGGAATTTTATGTTTAGCTTCTTGATCCATGCAGTGCATGTTTTGATATTTCAGTTTTTCAGGTTTCTAGTTTTGCAAATTAATGTTTTTTAGAAACATCTTATTTTCTTGTTTACTCACTCCCTCTATTCCTTCTCCTGATTTAATTCTTAGAATCAAAAGGAAATCAAGAAGATCCTAGGACAATGAAGAGATTTTATCAGAGTCATTTTATAAATCTAGGAATTCATAGGCTTCAGAATTGAGTATGAGTTGGGACTTTCTGCTTCTTTAGCAACTTCTAATTTGGTGAAACAGTTTGCACTCTGTTTAGTAAACTTTTCTGTGAAAAATGTGAGCATGGAAGAATAGCTAATGATTTCTCAGAAAAAAATATATAGTTGATATGAAATATTAGATGTATTTCATAAAATAGCAACAGACTTTTAGCTTGTTTACATTTAATGAGCAAGAAGATTGAATTGTTAAGTCAATTAATTTCATTTTTTAACATGAAAAATTTTATTTTCAAGGTCTATAGAAGAAAGTTTTAATCTGTCAGATGAAAGCTGTGGCCCCAACCCAGGAATTGTGAGGAAAAAGAAAATTGCAATTGGGGTAATCTTTTCACTGTCCAAAGATGAAGATGAAAATAACAAATTTAATGAATTCTTTTTTTCACATTTTCCTCTGTTTGAGAGCCACATGAACAAATTAAAGAGTGCAATAGAACAGGTAAGCATAGTTATTTACATCTTAAAATTATTTTTATCTTTTTTTCTTTGCATTTTATTCTTCTGATTAAGCAGTATGTTTATAGGCAATGTGTGAATGCTCTACAAAGTGCTGTGTAAGGTGCAAATGTATTCAGCCCTTTTTAAGGAGTTTACTGCCTAATAAAAGATTTAAGTCATTGATTTATTCAATCAAAAAATGAATATATGAGACACTGCAAAGTAGCAAGCCCTATTCAAATAAACAACACTTCTGACCTCATGGGACAGCAGATCAACCAATGTCCATCTGTTATTTTAGATATTTTTTTTTTTGACAGGCAGAGTGGACAGTGAGAGAGAGAGAGACAGAGAGAAAGGTCTTCCTTTGCCGTTGGTTCACCCTCCAATGGCCGCCGCGGCCGGCACACTGTGGCCAGCGCACCGCACTGATCCGATGGCAGGAGCCAGGAGCTTTTCCTGGTCTCCCATGGGGTGTAGGGCCCAAGCACCTGGGCCATCCTCCACTGCACTCCCTGGCCACAGCAGAGAGCTGGCCTGGAAGAGGGGCAACTGGGACAGAATCCGGCGCCCCGACCTGGACTAGAACCCGGTGTGCCGGCGCTGCTAGGCGGAGGATTAGCCTAGTGAGCCACGGCGCTGGCCCTGTTATTTTAGATATTAATAAATGCTATAGAGAAAAACAAAATGGAAAGGTATAAAAGAGATATTCAGAGAGTTCGTGGAAAATGAAATTAAAAGTTTATTGTTGGCTGGCGCCGCAGCTCACTAGGCTAATCCTCCACCTGCGGCACCAGCACACCGGGTTCTATTCCTGGTCAAGGCGCCGGATTCTGTCCTGGTTGCTCCTCTTCCAGTCCAGCTCTCTGCTGTGGCCCAGGAGTGCAGTGGAGGATGGCCCAAGTTCTTGGGCCCTGCACCCTCATGGGAGACCAGAAGAAGCACCTGGCTCCTGGCTTCAGATCAGTGTGGTGCGCCGGCCGCAGCGTGCCAGCCGGAGGGTGAACCAACGGTAAAGGAAGACCTTTCTCCTCTCTGTCTCTCTCTCTCACTGTCCACTCTGTCAAAAAAAAAAAAAAAAAAAAAGTTTATTGTTGATGCAAAAAATTTTGAAATCCATGCATTTTTTAAATAATACATATTTTCAGTGAATTTTCTGAAGTTGCTTTATATTCCACCAGCATTAAGCATGATCCTAATAAATAATATTATTCTTCCACACAAAACTCTCTAGCGGGTTCCCACTAGAGAAAGAGAATAGTCGAGGTTGACTCTTAAGATTTTTCACCTGAGTAGTTAGGATGGACTTATCTATACTAAAATGTGAAAGACTGTAGATGGAAAAGGTGTGATGGAAGAATATCAGCAGTTATGGAGCATTTCAGCAGTTAGAGTTTCAGAAAATGAGAAGGAACCCGCAGAGGGGATGGAAAAGGAGTGGAGGAAAAATGAGAGTTTTGGGAGGCAGCTAAGTGAAGAGAGCATCTTAGGGACTCAAAAGTGATTAAGGATCATCTATCTGGCTGTGAGAAGAAACAATGTTATTTACATTGAATCTGATAAAAAAACAAGGATGTCATTATCAGGTTTTTTTCTTTTCTTCTAAAAAATATTTATTCATTTATTTTGAGAGAGTTATAATCAGAGAGGGAGAGACACAGAGAAAGATCCTCCTTCTGCTGGTTCACTCCCCAAATGGCAATAACCACTGGAGTTGGGCTGATCTGAAACCAGGAGCCAAGAGCTTCTTCTGGGTCTCCCATGCAGGTGCATTTGAGCCATCCTCCACTGCTTTCCCAGGCTGTAAGCAGAGAGCTGAATAGGAAGAGGTGCAGCCAACAAACCGGCACCCATATGGGATGTTGACGCCCCAGGCGGAGGCTTACCCTACAATGTCGCAGTGCTGGCCCCGTTATCAGTTTGTTTTTTTTTTTTTTTTTTTAACTGAAAAGATGAGTAAAGGCATTTTCTTAAGACTTCGGTTACATTTTCTTTAGTTGGCTGCTGTCCCTTTCTGTCATGTGTTGCTGACAAAGTCATCCAGTCTTTGTTATAGCTAAGCTGACATTTTGGATATTTGAAGAAGAAATGAAAGCTTTATAAAAACTTGAAATGGGCACCAAAAGATTTATTAAAGATTACTTTTTAACTGTCCTCATGTTTTAGTACTTTGACCATTCTGTAACCTAAAGTGTACACTGTTAATATTTATAGCTGTTTTGATATTTGTTCAAATTTAGTATTCCATTTTTTACTAAGCTGAAAGATAAAACTGAATGAATGCTTTGCATAAATGGAATTATTTATGAAAGTGCTGTAGTAGTCACTGTTAAAATTTAGATGACACTGGACTGTACAAAGAAGTTATCTAAAAGGATCCTTTATATATATATATATATTTTAATCTGTGGATTTTGTCTCTAAGCATTGTGGCATTTACTTTGAATTCTGTGCTGAGATCTGTAGTGTAATGTCTGATAAAATTAAGGAAGAGGACCATGTTCTAATAAAAGAATAGTTACTTCGAAAGAATAGTTACTTCATTATAAATTGTCAGTCTCTGAATAGTTTGGAAAAACTAAATTCCACTTTTATCATGTGCAGTTTGTTTTCTGGCCTCTAGTAGTCTAACTTTCATTTAAATATCTATGTTTTAAAAACATTTTAAAGCTTATAACTGCATGAAGAATTTAGAATTAAATTCTCTTGGAAAAAATCATAACTTTACATTGTAAAGTTCTTTTAGGCCTTTGTATCCCAAACCAGTTCTGCCTTTTTGTTTGTCTAGATCAAGGCTTTTAATGTTGGTCAAATATTTTTTTAAGAAAGAAAATATTACTAATCACTTGAGGTATTTTTCAGTGGAATATTTATATTCCAGATTTAAAAATTTTTTATTTTCATTTCATTTGAAAGAGATGGAGACAGAGAAACAAGACAGAGAACTTCCATGTACTTCTAAATGCCCACAACAGCCTGAGCTGGGCCAGGCTGATATTCAGTGCTAAATAGTCAATCTGGGTCTTCCAGGTGGTAGCAGAAACCCAAATTTTTGAGCCATCATATTCCTGCCTTGCAGGATGCACAGTTGCAGGAAGCTGAATTGGAAGCAGAGGAGCCAGTACTTGAACTAGGCACTCCAATATGAGATGGAGGCATCCTAAGTAGCAGCTTAACCACTGCCTCAGACACCCTCCCTGTATTCTAGATGTTTAATAAAACAATTAAAGCATTGTCTGTGGAATACAAGAATAAACCAGTGGATTATTGTTACTGAGTTATAATTTTGCCTTGTTTTGTTTCTGGAAAAAGTAGTTTCTTGTAACTTAGAAACTGTCAAGTTCAGTTTGTGTGTTGTCATTCTGTAGCTCAGCAGTTAAAATAAAAAATTTTGAGGCTGGCACTGTGGTGTAGTTGATTAAGCAGTCTCTTAAAACACCAGCAGCTGCTCCATTTCTGGTTCTGGCTCCCTGGTGATGTGCCTGGGAAAGCAGTTGGAAGGAACCCTGCCATCCACGTTGCAGACCTGGGTGGAGTTCCTAGCACTTGGCTTAATTGTGGTCATTTGGGGAGTGAACCAGCAAGTGGAAAATGTTTCCCTCTCTCTGTTTCTCGCTGTCTCCATCACTTTACCTTTCAAATAAATAGTCTTTAAAAAATTAACATTTGAATCACCAAAGAAAGCCATTATACATATGTATATATACCATCTTTGTTTCTTTCCAGATAAGGATGTTGCTGCAGTGTGTATAAGTACACTATGTTTTCTTTCATTTATTTTCTCATGTTTGCTTACCACTGATATAAAAATTAATTTTTTAATGATTATTTTCAAGGCTATGAAAATGAGTCGCAGATCAGCTGATGCAAGTCAGAGGAGTTTGGCATATAATCGAATAGTTGATGCCCTAAATGAATTCAGGTACATATTCCCCAGCTTTCCATAATGTTGAGTTGCTTCACAATGTATTACAGGAAGATTTGTTTTTCTGTTCTGTAATTTATTCGAGTAAAATTTAATTCTTTAAATTTCTCTGTTTCATGGTCATATAAGAGTGTAAATCATCAGTTCTTTGGTTCCTATGTAACTGAATCTCAAATGTGCTTGGGGTTTAAGCATATTTGAGAGCTATACTGGTATGGATTTCTGTATTGAAAAAGTAGAAGAGAACTTTGTTTCAGTAGAAACTTGCTTTTTTGTCTCTTGGGCTTCTGAGTTTTTTTAGCCAGTGACAGTAATCAGATGTTTTTATATCCATAGAAGTAAGAAACATGTTGATAGTCCGACTATCTGTTGCATTATCCTTTCTCTAGATGTGACACAGTTTTCTGACCTAGAATATGTAAATTTAACTTAATGATAAACTGATAGAGATTATTGTAAGAATAAAATTAGATAGTTACGTAAGATATTAATCAGAATGTTTCTCAGTGGTGCCGTTGTTTTCTGTGTCAGGTACAACTTAAAGTAGTGCTGCTTGACGCAGTTTTAGTCACTCTCATCATACCTTCACAGTTTTGCCAAATCTGTATGTTATCTGTGCCATTTTAATTTAAAGTTTCTGTTTAAATTGACCCACTTTTGTACTTAAATAAATTTATTTCAAATGAAACTTTATTACCATGGATGAGGAATCAGTATTCTTTGCTGTAATAAGCTAGCTATAAAAATAGGATCATAATAACTGAAATATAAAATATATATCTAAGGGCTGGCGCTGTGGCGCAGTGGGTTAACACCCTGGCCTGAAGCGCTGGGATCCCATTTGGGCGCTGGTTCGAAACCCAGCTGCTCCACTTCCGATCCAGCTCTCTGCTATGGCCTGGGAAAGCAGTGGGAGATGGCCCAAGTCCTTGGGCCCCTGCACCCACGTGGGAGACCCAGAAGAAGCTCCTAGCTCCTGGCTTCTGATGGGTGTAGCTCCAGCCGTTGCGGCCATCTGGGGAGTGAACCAGCGAATGGAAGACCTCTCCCTCTCTCTCTCTGCCTCTCCTCTCTCTGTGTAACTCTGACTTTCGAATAAATAAATCTTTAAAAGAAAAAAAAGTCTGTCTACTACCAAAGAGTTATTGGCATTAGAAGTGCATTTACTTCACTTTTAGAAAAGGTGTATGTTTCATCTACAACTGTGTATGTAGTCTTTTATTGAGGTAAGGATCTTCTGGACTAACATGAGAGGTTATTTAACTTGTGATCCTGTAGGATTATATGCTGAAATTATAGGGATTCAAATGTAATTTGTAGGGTTTTGTTTGTTTGTTTTAAAAATTTGCTTACTTATTTGAAAGGCAGGATTACAGAGCCAGGAGCTTCATTCAAGTCTCCCAGGTGGCTGGGACTCAAGTGCCTGGGTCGTCATCTTCTGCTTCCCCAGGCATACTAGCAAGGAACTAGATGGGAAGTGGAACAGCTAGGACTTAGATTGGCTTATGGGACTCCATTTTTGCAAGTGGCAGCTTAAACCACTGTACCACTGCAGTATACTTTTTAAAAAGATTTATTTGTTTGTTTTTTTATTTGAAAGGCAGAGTGACACAGAGGGAGAGATGGGGTGTAGGGTGGTCTTCCCATCCTCTGGATCAGTCCTACAAATGGCCACAATAGCCAGGGCTGGGCCAGACTGAAGCCAGGTGCCAGAAACTCCACACTGGTCTCCCACGTGGATTCAGGGGTCCCAGGTACTTGGACAGCCTTCTGTTTTTTTCCTGGCTGCTATAGCAGGGAGCTGGACTAGAAATGGAGCAGCCGGACTTGAACCCACACTCTTATGTGGCAGCTTAACCACTGCACTGTGCTAGCCCCCACAATATACATTTTTATGTCATCTTAAGTCTTCTTTTGAATAATCCTATACTGCTTTATAGGTGTGAACATACCTTATAACAGAATATCTTCAATTCCTGCCTAACATCTCTTACAACATTGCAGTCATTTATTTCATACTTCCATTAGTTACAATTATTCAGTACGTTGTCATTTTTAAAACTAGTTTTCTATTAGGTAGATCCACTAAGGGTAAGAAAATGAAAGTACTTTATTTTACCTGTATCTCTTTCTGACATTCTTCCTTTCAAAATTTATGTAGAACTTTCCCTTTTGAATAGTAAGTTTGTTGGATACAGAACTATAAGTTGATGTTTTTTCTCAGCACTCTAAATATTTTCCTCCATCGTCTTTTTCCTTGTGTGATTTCAGACATGAACTGTTATGTAAGTTTTATTCTTACATATGGTAAGATTTTTATTCCCTTTGGCTTCAGTCAAGATTTTCTCTTTGTCTTTGGCTTTCTTTGAATATGACATATGTAGCTGTACATTCTTTGGTATTTTTCCTGCTTGGTATTCTGTGAGCTTCCTCGTTCTATGGTTTGTTGTTTTTTTTTTTTTTTTTTTTTTTTTTTTTTTAATTTTTGACAGGCAGAGTGGACAGTGAGAGAGAGAGACAGAGAGAGAAAGGTCTTCCTTTGCCATTGGTTCACCCTCCAATGGCCGCCGCTGCAGCCGGCGCACCGCGCTGATCCGATGGCAGGAGCCAGGATCTAGGTGCTTTTCCTGGTCTCCCATGGGGTGCAGGGCCCAAGCACCTGGGCCATCCTCCACTGCACTCCCTGGCCATAGCAGAGAGCTGGCCTGGAAGAGGGGCAACCGGGACAGAATCCGGCGCCCCAACCGGGTCTAGAACCCGGTGTGCTGGCGCCGCAAGGTAGAGGATTAGCCTATTGAGCCACGGCGCCGGCTGGTTTGTTGTTTATTTTTCAGATTTTCAGCTATTATTCATATTTCTTCTGTTTCCTTCTTTCTGCAGTTGGTATCCCCATTATAGGTACACTGTGTTAACACTTTTAGTAATTGTCCCACAGTTCCTGGCTGTTCGGTTTCATCCTTTATTCTCTTGGCCTTTCAGTGTGGGAAGATTTTATTGACATACCTTCAAGCTTACTGAGTCTTTCCTTGGTGGTGTCCAGTCTACTAATGAGCTCATCAATAGCATTCCTCATTTCTTTTGTATTATTTTTGATTTTTATCCTTTCCTTTTGGTTCTTTCTCAGCATTTTGATTTCCTCTGCTGTCTTGCTCATCTGGTATTGCTTTGGATACTAGAGCCATTGACATAATAATCATAGTTATTTTAATACCCAGTCTGGTTAAGTCTAAAATCTGTGTCATATCTGAGTTTGATTCTGATGCTTTCTTTGTCTCTTCCTATTGTTTTTTGTTATCTTTTAGTTGACTTGTAATTTTTTGTTGAAAACTGGATATATAAAAAAATAGGAACTAAGTTTAGTAACTTTTTTTTAAAGATTTATTTATTTGAAAGTCAGAGTTACACAGAGAGAGAAGAGGCAGAGAGAGAGAGAGAGAGGGAGAGATCTTCCATCCGCTGGTTCACTCCCCAGATGTCCGCAACGGCCAGAGCTTTGCCGATCTGAAGCCAGGAGCCAGGAGCTTCTTCCAGGTCTCCCACGTGGATGCAGGGGCCCAAGAACTTGGGCCATCTTCTACTACTTTCCCGAGCCATGGCAGAGAGCTGGACAGGAAGTGGAGTAGCCGGGTCTCAAACTGGCGCCCATATAGGATGCTGGCGCTTCAGGCCAGGGTATTAACCCACTGTGCCACAGCGCTGGCCCCAGTAACTTTTTTTTTTTTTTAAGATTTATTTTATTTATTTTAAAGGTAGTCTGTCAGAAATCTTCTGCCTACAAATTCACTCCCCAAATAGACTCAATAACTAGTTCTTAGCCATGCGAAAGCCAGGATCCTGGAACTTCACTGGAGTCTCCAGCAGGGGTAGAGGGGACCATCTTTCCATGCTTTCCCAGATAAATTAGCAGGGAGCTGGATCTGAAGCGTAGCAGCCAGTACTTCAATATAGGATGTTAGTATCTCAAGCAGCAGCTTCAATTGCTGCATCATGACACCAGCCCCACTAGCTCCCTGGTAATGTGCCTGGGAAGGCAGTGGAAGGTGGCTCAAATGCTTCGGTTCCTGCCTCCCATGTGGGAGATCTGGATGAAGGTATAGGCTACTGGCTTTGGCCTGAACCAGCTCCGGCCATTGAGGCATTTGGGGGAATTAATTATGGGGTGGAAGATTTCTCTCTCTCTTTCTCTCTCTCTCTCTAACTCTGCTTTTAAAATAAATAAATCTTTTTTGAAAAATGACTTTTTATTTGAATCTGTTTAGGAGCTTGTCTTATGTTAATATTTGCTGTAGTTGGGGTATCAAAAGATTAATTATTACATAGTTTCTGTTTGTTTTTTTTTTTTCTCTCTCCTTTACTCTTTGGGTTTTCTAAGACCTGTTTTTTTAAATAGATTCTATGTCTGATAGCTCTTGCCATTGTAATCCAGTGTTGTTATATTGGAGTCAAGTATGTATACAGTATTCAGATGTGGGAGTGAGGATGGGGAATGTTGTATTTTATGTCTCAGATGTCTTTGAGCCTGAATCCCGGGCCATAACCTTCAGAAGCAATTTTTGGCATTTTTTGTTTATCCCCATAGGTGAGCCGGGAAGGCATTGGGATTTGGAGTTGTCTAATTGCTGCTCTCAGGTCTGATAAGGAATAATTTTCCTGTGAGGGAAGGAAATCTCTTGTGTTTCAAAGATTGCTGTAGGGCGTATTGCCAAATTGTTGATTTTTCTGCTCTTCTGCTCCCTTTATCACAAACACAAAGGGATGTTTCTCCAATTTTCATGTCAAGTTGTTGTGCAGCCCTGCATAGGGATGTAGAGTCAGCCTGTGAGAGGAGTTATGTATTTATGAACAATTTGCAACTCTTGAGAATGTCTGAGTATGTAAAGGTAGAACTTTCACGTTGTATTGAAGCCAAGGTGTGTTACACCTAATATGGTAAGGTGAAACATTTACTAACTGGGTGCAATGGTTATTTATCTATTCTGATGGTTTATTGACAGTGT